TGTTTATATTGTTTTTAAAATTTTATATAAAAATATAGAAACTTTAGAAACTGAGAAACTACAAAAATACATGGTTACTTCAATATGTTTATTTTTAAATTATTAAATCTTGACATTGTTAAAAATTAATAAAAATAATTATGTTAACAGGTTGAGTTGATAATTTAAAATAATTTAACACTTACCAATTTTTAACAATATTCAATTCGTCTAGTATAAAATGATTATACTCGACACGCAATAGTTCATTTTTAAATTTAACAAGTAGAATTTATTTTTGGATAGCATAATGGTGTCAATGTGCTGCCAAAAAATAAAAACTTAATAGAAACGTTAATTCCATATGTACACTTAACCTTATTTTTAATAGTGGATTAATGTCAAAATTTGACTTTTAAAATAGGTACCATTCATATATTTTGTTTATCAATACTAAAATAATTAGTTAAATTACTATTATTATTTATTAATACTACTATTATTAATTAATTACTAAAAAAAGGCTAAAATAATAAATACAATAGTACCTATACAACTATTATAATAATGCAATTTAAGATATGTTTTAATCACAGCCGTTTCTTATGTTATGATTAACAGTTAAGCTTAAGTTTTTTTATTTTTATCGCAGAAATAAGACTCATTCCTTTGGTGCACATGGCTATTATGCACAGAAACAAAAGTTGGGTGAGTTATATCTAAGCTAGTTTTTAAAAATTGACTCTTCATAGAGCTGTTTTTTGAACACACCCGACAAATAAAATTAGAGCATTCTTTGTGGAAATTGAACAAAAATACTATATACACAACCTGAGGGTATTTTTTTTGGATTGAATTAATTCTATTTTTAAATGCTAACTTGGTTTTGAACTACGAGAAAATATGAAATTCGAAAACAAACGCGTACTTATACGATATATTCTAACAGACTGGTAACACTCTCGTTACCTATATCATTGCTTTGTCGGATGTTTGTAATTAGGGAATTTTCTAGTTTACGAAGTATAGGATCAAAAGATACCAATTATGATAGATATTATGGTATATATATAATACACACAAGCATTTTATACATTACACACTAAACTACAAAGTACAACTGTAGAACTGTAGAAGAAAAAATATTTTGGTAAATTGTTCGCTAAACTTTTTCTCCCGGGACTTTTTTACTGGGGATTTTTTTTCTGATTACCATTTTTATTTAACCTATCAGTTTTAAAGTTTTATTCAATGTCTTCCGAATTAAACAGTTAAATAATAAAATTGCAGTTTGAATGCTTTATGAGTTACATAATTAATAATGTATATTTTAATATTTTATACTACGTGATAAATATTGAAATTAATTTAGTGTAATTGAGAATATAATAACTTTTATATAAATATATCTTAGAAATGAATGTAATGAAAATTATGCGATAAGTGATTCAACTGAATAATATAATTATTTCAAGAATTTCCGTGAATGAAATAATTTCTGTTTTTTTCATTTAACTGTTAATTAAGGAACTATAATATTTTATTACATTGTAATGAATGAAAGTTAACATACATATTGTTGATGCTTGATAATTATTTTACGTGTAATTGAATAAATATAATAAAATAATATGTAAAGTGTAATTGATGTTTGATATAGACGATATAGTTTTCAATGGCACGAAAAGTACATATTATATAAGTGTACATATTTACCTACGACAATTATCACGGGCGAATCAAATGTCATAAATATAATTTGTATTATGTGTGTCAACATTTTATGTGGAAGTGTCTAATGCCTTAGGTAAAATTTGGAATTTCGGTGCCACTGATAGTTTTTATTATATGTTTGAGAGAATAAATATCTGGAGATCTTGTCCTCGGTTCCGCCAATGTGTCATGGCTCATGTGTTATGAAGTATTCATGTATGTCTTATATTTTGTGTTTATAATGTCTAACTTTAATAAACAAATATTGAAATGTATAACATATAAAGAACTTATGTTTTATTGTGAAAATTGTAATGTTTGTTAAAAAACATAAATTTAATGTATTGCAGTGTGTTTTAATCGGATCCTTAATAATATATTTATTTTACTAAGTACTTAAATGGGTTTGTGTGTCTATAATTTGCTACTTGTAGAATATGGATTGAGTTAGAAACTATTTGTTGACTTTAGTACTTTAGTATACCTATTTATGTAAGTTATCCTTTAAATTAATTTAACTGAAGTGTGATGTTTTCGTCGACGTTAAAAAGCTGTAACTTGTAAGTTCACGGTGTAAGCAAAATCAATAGATAGAGTGACTGACAAATGAAAGGAATTTGATTTAAATCTTAAACATTTCGAATTCTCCATTTTATATTAACTCTGCAGGTTTAGAGCAAACTCTCAGTGGTGTTTTTGACTGTTGATTATAATGTTATTTGTGTAGACTGAGAAAACCAAAGGCGTAATACCTTACAAATGTGAACAATTTAATATCGCTTCATATTTACAAATAACTGAAATAACTTAGGTATTTAACTTGTTTGTTGAAAATAACGTTGTATAATTATAACTTAAATATATATTTTAATATATTTACTTATATACATATAATATATAGATGTACACTGTGCATAACTTGGCAGGATTGACTCAACTTTAAATTCAGGAAAATCTTCTGTTAATATTGCTTAAAGGTTGAATATTTAATTAAGAACTAAACCCTGGAGTTGTTGTACTTGTGTTTTTGATTAAAAATATAATGAGTTGAACGGGTAATAATAATAATATATAAATATAAAATACATTAAATTCTCATTTTTTTAATAAATATTCATTATACCTTTAAATGTAATATTGTACTGCTAATTTATTCCAATAGATTTTGAAGTAGTATATTAAAATTAAACTATTAACATTACAGCAGTACACACTCCACTCCTCAATAATCCTTTATAAATATTAATTCTCAGTAGGTAGTGTTTATGTGTGTATTTTGATTTTTTTCTCGATTCCAAGTCACTCTGAGAGTCATGTGCGCGTGCGTGTACTATAGAAGCAGGTTTTTGCAATCCTATTTACAAGGGAGAACGGACGAATCATAGTGTAAAAAATATCAAACTATGCGCCTATAACATAATACCGTCTACATACACGTTCAAACACGACGGCCGTTAATAAATTTCTAGACGTTTTAATTATTCGAAACATAACCGTATATTTCCGAATAAATTTTCTGGGCGAAGAGAGTCCGTGGTCTGTAACATAAACAGCTGATCATTAACGTTATCGAAACCTGCTGGTCGCACTGAACGTTTTGCATTGCAGAAAAAAAAAGTATGTTCAACAGACGCGTGGTGGTGTGCACTAGCTGGTGCTGTGTGTATCAGGAATGTTGGCGGAGACTCCGGTCTCCGGTGCTACAAATGCGAATCGAGTGGCATTGCTCGAAGTTATAACGGCGGAGCACAGTAGGTGTCTACTATATTCGTCCAGACGACAATCATTTTTAAATATTCTCGATATAAATTGTATCAAATGTATCGTGTACCATATACGTCGATTATTCAATGTTCAATAATATTACAAACTAGTGTATTGCACGGTGTAGCCATGAAATATGACTAAATTATCCGTTAGGAAATAATAAATCATACTTTGTTAGTTTAAACTATTAATGTGTTCTCTTCAAACTAATGCTCTACATGATTTAATAAATGTCTACAGCGTGGTTCAGTACAGAATAATAAGACAACTGTTTCACGGATTGTGTTTAAACACGATACCCAAAAGCTAGTGGAAGGAGTTGTCTGCCCTGTGCGAGGAGGGGGGTGCGTCTTGTCCGCCCTTGGACGCGCTCGCCGAAGGACGGTTATTTATTCACTTTGTTTTACGAAGGTTATTTTTAACAAAATATATTTTCAAAGGATATATTATTATAATAAATTGTATAGTTACGGAGAATTTTAGCGGTGACTGCGTATATAACTCATAATATGAATCGTAGGTACATTTATTTTTATTTAGTGTGTTTATCTTCAGTATTGGTACATTTTCAAAGTGCTTTCCTTACAATAACACCATATAATACATAACATTATTTATTTAATTTAATTTATACACATATCTGATGGCATTTTTTCAAATCTTTCAAGTAAGTTAAGATTTAAAATACATGTAAAGTAAATAAGTACACAACATATATCAAGTAACGATGACAAACTGTGAACAAGTGGTCTAAGACTAAGATTTTCTAATTATATACACTCGATACATTGTTCATTGCTGGCCAGAGATCCCTGCACCGAACGTCACAGCTGCCGGTAATACGATATAATATTATTTAGGTTTGCACTGTTTGCACTTTAGAGCAGTGGCGGCATGTTTTTTTCCGTTAGTTCTTGCTCAACTCGGGGAGGTCGGGGTATCTCGTAGTTCGCGCGCAGGAATGCGATTCGAAATAGAAAAACACGCGAATTATTACCACCGTGTCTCGATCGGGTCAGTCATAATAATAATAATAGTAATAACAACGAAAAATAGTAAGACCGTTAATAAAAAAAAAAATAATAATAACAACAACAACAACAACAACAAGAAACAACAAGTGGGAAACCACACTGGTGCGTGTGCTTGTGCCTACGAAATAATAATGTATATTATTTATATGGCATATCAATCGCGTTTTTTCGGCGCACAGTGCACACACGACACACAATACCTGCCTGCAGTGTACGCGTCCGTTTCGTTTATATTATTATTATAATTATTTTTCGTGCGGCCCCAGACAACGTCAGCCAAAAGCGACCATCACGCCGTCGCTTTTCGTCGTTACCACGGCCACCGGAGCGCCGCCGCCGCCGTCACGGCCGTCGTCGCCGCCGCGTGGCCATTCCGTTTCGATTATCGGCGCGCGTTAGGACTCCGTCGGCGAGCGTCGTCGTCGTAGTCGCCGTCATTGCGGTTGTTGTTGCGCGTCGACTATTATTATTATTATTGTTAAGAATATTATTCCGTGTGTGCGTTGCGTCCGTCGCACCGTCAGTAGTACAGTACTATTCATTGTTATCGGCCGGTCGGTCGCCGCTGTCGTGTCCGGGAAACAGGTGGTGTTCCGAGTGTGCTCGACTATTATAATAATAATTATAAATAATATTATTATACCATGTTATTATTTTTATAATTACTGTTAGTACCTATTATTATAATTATAATATTTTTATTATTGTTGCGTGTGTGTGTGTGTGTGTGTGTGTTTGTGTGTTTTCCTTATCGCGTCGTAGTTGTTCCTTCGTTGCGCCGTCGCTCGCCACTCGCCACTCGTCAGTGCACGTGCAGTGTTCCCGCAGAATAGTGTTTGTTCGCCCGTAGAGTAAAGAGTTATTTCACTGTCGTCCGTTCAAATTCGACTGTAGTGTGGTTTGCTCCAAACCGCGTTCGTGTTTTGCACTGTTCGTACCTCGTTTCGCGTTTTCCTCGTCGGCGTCAACGGCGATTTCCGTTTCGTCGGTTTGCAATTGACATACCTTATTTTAACTGTATTGTGACGTAATAACACATTTTCCGACCACTTATCTTCAAAGGAAAAACCCGCCGTGGCTTGTCGCTCGGGGCACGCCTATATACATAACATAATTGAATCGGTGAGTAACCCTTCCCGAATACGCTCGCGTCGCTTTTATGTTACCATTTTTGTTGTTGTTGTTTTTATTGCTATTATTTTTTACTATATTTGCATTAAATATGCAGAATTCAGTCTTAAATTGAAAAAGAAGGGGGATTCAAAAGTGTAAAAAAAAAGTGTATATATTTAAATATTATTCAAGTATGCACATTTTTTTTTACACTTTTGAATCCACCTTCTTTTTTTCCAAATTCGAGGGGTACGGATAAATATTTTTATAAAGAAGAGTGACTTGTTAAAACAGAACTGATTAGTCTGTGCGTCGAAGAGGCCTTCTGAAATATATAATATATCCGACTTATACCTACCGCAATTAAAATGCCATTGTAACGATTTGTATTCGAATCAACTTCGTATTCAGCCAGTGGTTGGTCGAGTGGTGTTGTAGTAACGCTATGTCCTATATCGGACATCGTTTACCGCATACAATTTATTCAATACAAAGATAGTTTTCAAAAATGCGCGTTTGTGTCACGTTTTGAGGGTTACCGATGCGGCTAGGACGGAAAGTTGTAGCTATAGTTTGTCAAACCACATTGCTGGTTAAAATAATATAATGTACAATATATGAACATTGGGCTCACGTCGGTAATTATTTTAAATAAATAAATTCATATTATAGTAGTACGATATTAAATTATAATAATATCAATATAATCTACAATAGTTAGACTGTTAGAGGGTTAGACGCTATTATTTGGTTGATTTTTTCCTGTATTTTATTTTCGGAGCTTTCGAAACACGGACAGTGTTCAATTATTGTTGTATGTTTTATTCCACCTTCTAACATTATTGTACACCACGTGTGGTAAAACACACAAGCGTAAGTATCGATCGACTACGTTTTCGGAAGTTCTATGACGTGTGTACGCATGTAGTCAGTCGCAGTGGCGATTGTTTTCCTTCGCATTTTGTTGTTGGATCTCCCGGAGAAATCGATCGCAATTTAAATGGTTTTAAAAGCTTCAATCTCCTTTGGGTTTTACTTGTATTTTTTATCAGGGTGTTTTATGTTTTATTTTCTAATCCCAAAGGGGATAATTTATTTTGTTTTCCCACCCAGCCACCTATTATGATAATTAATTCAGAAAACCCTGTTTTACATTAATTCGTTGTAGGTATGCATCTGTAGTAGTTATCGAGAGAACCGTTAAAACACTAATTACTAATAATTACGAAATTCAATTAAGCACACGTTTTTATAAGTTCAAACAAAAATATTCCTTTCCTGTGGGCTACCACATTTTTTTAAATTTACAATAAGTGATAGTTTTTAATTAATCAGGATTTAGTTTTAGCCTCGGTTTCAGTTGAATTAAACATTTAAATAATCCGACATAAAGTTTGGTTTATCAGTTAATAGTCGGGTAAGTATGATATATTACACTCATTACTAATAAGTTATCAGTTATTACATTTACTGTAGTAAATATTTTACGAATTTCGTCTACTATACCTTTATGTATAGAGCAATATATTTTGTAATTTTGAACTTGGATATAATATTATGTTCTTCTTTAATATAGTATGTATATTGCAGGTTAATATTGCAGGTACCTTGTGTTCTACAATTCTATTATACAACAAACACGCTTATATACACGTGAAGTTTGTTTAAGATTTAGAAACTTTCACTGATTAGGAAGTATACAGGGTGATTGTCTTACCGTAAATGGATTAATCTCTTAAAGTTTAATACCATACCAATAAAAACATTTTTTTTATCTGCAGTAGGTACCTATAACTATCTTCGCCGCATCAATAACTTTTTATTTTAAAATTCCGAAATCATTACTTTGAACTAATAGTCTATTTGGTATGTATTTTTTTAACGAGTTCTTATTATTTTCCTTAATTAGGTAATAGGTTGGTATATAAATTATATTGACGATTGAGTACATTGACTACTAAATACTTTTAAACCACAAAAGTATCGCTTTGTTTACCAATATTATAATAATATGATGGATGTGTTTTGTTGAGCTCAACAATGTTATGTTATCATCGAGTATTAAAAATATGTCAGTAAATACTTGAGCTTGGGCGATATTTATTTTTTGTTTTAAAAATATAGAGCGATATGGTATAATAACATACAAAGGAAATTGTTTTCCTTTAAAAATTATCGAACAAGATAACACCTAGATTTGTTTTGAATGTCGATAACGAATTAAAAAGTGCACCTGTTGAATTTAAAACGTATGTCAATATTCTCAATATAGCTTATCAGTTATCATGCGATAACCCGAACATAAATGAAGCGTGGGTTCGCGTATCCATTAGCATTTTCTAAACGTAATCAACAATACCATTACATGTGTTCTTACTTAAAATAAATATTTTAAAACAATTGAACCTAGTGCAGGATTAGTTTTATTAATCATGTGTCAATACTCAATTAAATTGTTTATTTAATTGCACCATAATATATACTTGTGCGTTTAATTGATATTTAGTACTTACTGAAGTGTTGTTACTTGTATTGTTTTTTACGTTTTTTAAATTGTTTAAAACGTTCACTATGAATGTATGTTAACACTAGTATAAATCAATATAAAATACAGGTAAATTTTTGTGTGTAAAAGACTTCTTTCGTCTCTCTCGTTTAATGGAAATAATTTCCTATCAGAGATCAATAACTAAAATTTTGAATTTTACGTGATAATATATTTCGTGATTTTTGATAATGATCCATCGACTTTTAACAAAGATTTTTAGAAATTATTTTTTAGTCGGGATTTTTTTTATTTTCAGTTATTATAGAATCGTTTAATAGTTACTAATGATCTTATTTATAATACTTTAACAATAAATTGTACTCTTATTCCGTAAACCGCTTAACCCCACATTACAATACTGTGTTTATAGTTCTATAGTTTTTAGTTTTTACCCCGTGTTTTACATTATTGCATCAATGCTACAGGTTATAAGTATTTTTTAAATTACAACATTTTATATACCTGCATTGATAGATTAAGAATTAAAATATCGTAATGTACAAATACAGATAGTGTTCTCGCCTCAAAGTGTTATAAACGTGTTAATTCACTCTAATAGTAAACCGTAGTAGTAAACTATTAAAGTTAACAACACACAATTACATTCATTCCAATGTGGAAAAATAAATTACATTTTTAATTTACTAGCTACAATATATCAGTATATCGAAAAGCTCTTAGCACCTTATTCTACCAGTAGCTTGGTTAATTTATCATTTCGAAATACCTAAATTGGACGAGATTGATGTAGTGATGTGATGTGGAAAATTATTAAAAAACTATTCTAATAAAGTTCCTAGGGCTTATAGTTTTGGTCAAATTTTTTTTAATCATATCTACCTTCAACAATTTCTGTTGATTATATTTATCCAATCTAATCAATAATTATTAATAGATACACTAATATTTTTAACATTTTACAATTTATCACTAAATTTATTATCTTTCCATTGCTTATTTTTGTTTAATATTACCATATTTTATAAATTATTATTTCCAGAATTATCTCTATTACCAAATTATAATATTGTTATGTTATATTATAATATATTTTGAGCTATCTTAGTTTCTTCTAGTAGCTACGATTATAAAAAAAAAATAATAATTTAATAATTATAATATAATCAATTATCGTGATAGTAGCTAATAATAATAATAATGATAATGAAAAAAAAACATTTAAACAGTAGATCATAATATTATATTTTAATGGGAAATTATTAACGTTTGTTTCATACACCATCGCTTCTCCTCGCTAATCCAAAATATTCCAAGGACCATAATCTGTTATTTATTTATTTATTTATTTATTTATAATAGTAAACGGGATAGGCCCTTGACATTTATATAAAATTAATAATTAACAAAAATATAATACACTATAACATACATAATATTAGCTGTTATGAATACACCTTCTTCCAGATCAATGGCAAAATTGATTTTTTAGTGGGACCCAACTTATAGAATAATAGAATAGATGTAAGTTTAAATAGTTAGTACTAAGTACTGTAGATTATAAGATCCAACTTGTATAAAATTGTATACGTAGCAGTACAGCATCATAATCGTTCACTAAATTGCAGTGGTCTGGAAAACGAATCGTTGTTCTCGAAATAGATATTTTAACGTGGCACTCAAAGTTGTAGGGAACCGTTTCTCACCGCCTTCTGAAATGATAAAACATTTTTATCGTTTTAAATAACTGATATTGTACTATTTGTACTATTTGTACTAGAAATGTCATATTAAATACTTAAATTACAGGGGAGGAGGTATGGAAGGATTTCCTCCTCCATCGGGGTACACCGTTGTTTTAAGTAAAAAATCAATTGACTAAATTCATTTGTTCAGTTAATTTATATTTTTCATTACGATACGTGGGATTAGTGGGCAATTGGAAGGTTTTGTTTACCTACTATAGCTGTCATATAGTTTGTTATGTGTATATATTTCTGTTTGAACTATAGATATTCCACGTGATGCCATCAAATCCACCAAAACAAACATTATCTTTATCTTTCGTACATTTTAATTGTGTGGCTTTTTTAACCAGAAACCAAAAAAAAATGCAATTTAGGTTTTCAAATATTGTTTTTATTTTAAAATCTTTAATCAATAATAATTTAAAAGTAGCAGATTACAATTGCTTTACATACCAAATATGTCCCATAACCCGCTGTGAAAAAAACATGTCGAGTAAGTATTTTCAACGGTATTTTTAACCACGTATGGTATGTACATTCTAAACAATGTAAAAATGTTGGTCCAAACAGGATCTGGTTTATTTTGTAGAGGATTTTATTTTATGAAATATTATATTATGCTCATTGGATTATTTCGATACTCGTTGAATGCTGCGAATATTTAATGTTTTAGTCTATACAATTATTAACTAATGTTATGATTAATTAAATAGTTTCTTTTATATTTTGAAGAGGGGCATTATTTTATAATATGT